CCCCGGCCCCAGGCACGTGGCTATGGGTGGGGCCCCGCCCCCGGGCATGCAGCTATGGGTGGGGCCGCCCCGGGCGTGCAAGTGTCCCCGCCCCCTGGCGCCCGGCGGGCAAACGGCCACGCCCCCTGGCGCCCAACAACCTCAAAAGGTTGGGGACTGCCCTAACCCCTAGGTCACTCCAGAATCCACCCCACCTCCCTATTTTCAGGGCACCCCTTATCCAGCCTTCCTAATGGGGCAGCTGGTGCTGGCTGTGGTGATTCTCTCCAAGTGGATGGGGCTCAAACTCACTACCCTGGGATCACCAGGCCACTCAAGAACTCACCCTGAGGCAGCACCATGGGGTGACAGGAGGCTCCTCGGAAGTGGAATGTGAAATGAGGAGTAACGGTAGTTCGAACTAGGAAGCCTAGTTCGAACTACCTAGTTCGTGCCCCGTGTAGCCGCGCTACACGGGGTTCGAACCAGCGGGGTTTTAAAAATGGCGGCTCCCCGCTTATGCAAATGAAGCCCGGGAAATTCAAATCCCGGGCTTCATTTGCAAGTGCGGTATGCCTACATTACCCCGCTAGTTCGAACTAGGAGGGTAGTGTAGACATACCCTAACATCCCTACTTTCCCTCGTGGCCAAGTTAATAACTCATTGCTGTAACTGAAAAAGGCCTTGTCTACACTGATGGTGGTGTGTAGGATACGTGGAGCTATGCACCGCAGCGAAAAGCAGGCTCACCAACACTGTGCTGGGAAGCTACACCATAGCCCAAGGCTCAGGCAAGAGGTAGCTGGCAGAGCCTTTCCTTGGAAGGCTGGCAGTGGGGAAGTGGAGTGCAGCAGGCAGGGAGAGGGCAGCAGAGTAGACCAGGCTTCTGGGTCACCCTGGTTCCCACTGCTGTAGTGAGGGGGGGCCTGCTGCCAGCCCACACCAGACCCCCTGCTAATTTCCCAGGTCATGTCACGTGGGGGAGAGTGCTTCAGGCAAGGGGTGCATGGTGGTGGGAAGGGGTGGAGCAGGGATGGGAAGAGGTAGGACAGTGGCAGGACTTGGGGGAAGGGGTAGAGCAGGGGCACAGTCTGCAGTGGAGGGGATCTGTCCCAGGCCCTGCACCACTGTAGGGATGGCTCTGGTTCAGCACCAACTTGAGCCTTGGTGACTCCATTAAAATGGGATCACAACCCACTCTGGGGTCCTGTCCCACACTTTAAGAACACCTGGACTAGAGGATGCCACTGTGTAGTTTTCAAGATGCAAATTTCTTCATAATTGCCATGGCATTTTGATTGCCACTTGCAAAAGCCCCCATCTGCCTTTTCTTGCCTATTTCATCAACAGAGCTCACCAGCCAGGCCAAATCATGTGATGCTTTTGTAATGTAGCCAATTGCCCATCCCTACAGCTAGTCTAATCAAACTAAAACCTGAACTCAGGCCCTTTAAAGTGAAAGGTTACTGCCCTAATTTTACCTTTATGAAAGTTTTGAATGTAACAGACTAACAATAATATCAACCATGTAAGCCATGAAAATCCTCAATTTTAAGATCAAGTAAAGATAAACCTGAAGAAACTTCCCCTTTTGCCCATAGTTTGGCTGGCAAAAGAGAAAAGAATACCCCAGAAAGCTAGACATCCATCTATGCCAATTTTTGAATAAAATGAGGAAAGCTTATACGGTCTAGAATAGTACCTGGTTTTGAATCATCACGTATTTTATCCAATATTGATGTCTGTATGTTTTTTAGTCCTTCAAATGTATCCACGTAGAAATAATTGCCTTTCAATCCAGCCATGCCCAAAAGCTCACCAGGATTTGCTCCTTCTATTCCAACAGCATAGATAATTATTCCGTTGTCTCTTAATCTCTTAGCTGTGTCATTGAGTTGTGGCATGTCATGGGACTCACCGTCTGTTATCACGATAAGAACCTGTGGAACTCCCTTGCTTTTGCGGCCACCATGCTCTTGAGCAAATAGAGATTCTGAATAGCCAATTGCCTTGGCTGTATATGTTGAACCTCCTCTAGATACATCCTTTTGGATAGCCTCTACAATCTTGGATTTTGTATCATACTGATTAAGGAAGAAAAACGTTTGTGGTTCATCGGAATATTTTACTGCTCCAAATTGAACTCTATCTGGAGCAACATCAGAGTTATTTACCAAGGTGATCATGAAGTCTTTCATGGTCTCGTATTGTAAGACACTTATGCTTCCAGATTCATCAATCAAAAACACAACATCTAATCTTTCTATCCTTTTGCTCTCTGTAAAAAAACACATGACAAAAAACCCCAAAGTGATAAGTAAGTACTAGTTTTTACTGAACCCTTCCACTTGCCCCTTGAATTCAATCAAAGCTTGTGAATTTGGATCACTTTTTGGTGGCAATAACACAACTGAACATCCTATGTTAGGCATGTTTGGGGAAAATCCACCAGTCCACAGCTGATGAGCCTAACCAATAATCCAAAAATAACTAGTGGTTTCAACTACAGCTAAAATCCAGAGAGGTGAGGGGAAAGAAATGAAGAGTAACACAACAGAATGGGAGCAGGCTAGATGATTAGAATGGCTTCTTCTGACCTTAAAAATCTATGAACATATATTTTAATAGAATACAAGCACTAATTAAAAGCTTTTGTTTTCCCCAAAAACATATTTTAAGGTTGTCGTTTTTGGAGCAAAGTCAAATTACTGTGACCCTAGTTGTACAATCATTGAACACAGTTGTGTGTACCATTTACTAATGGAAATGACACAAATTCTGCTGCCATTGGCATCCATGCAACCATACTGAAATGCATGGAGATCCACCAGGCATCAATGATAGCAAAAATAATTTTGTGCTTTGGATCTATTATCATATTTTTTCCTCTGTGTAGGAAAGATGTTCAGTTTGGAGCCTGTCATCCCTGCACAGCCTCCAATGTCGTATGTTGCCATGACCAAAAAGGGCTGACTGAAACTTCTGTGAAAACCACTAAAAGTACTCCTAAACAAAAGAACTGCATTTATGACATGGAGAGGGGAAGTCAATACCTAATTAACAATTTAGTAAGGAGGATATTGTTATCCCCTAAAAGATATGTCATTAATCCATGTTTAGGAACTACCTAGTGGCAGACTTGGCTCTGTTCTCACTCTGCAACAGCAAAGATGTCTTTTCTTCAACTGGATATTGTGAGTGCAAACAGGGCCCAGAGCCCAAAGCCTAAGCATCTAAAATGGAACATGCAATCTGCTAAGAGGAGTGAAATTCCTTATATCCCCCTCAGCCCCCCTGTGCAACCATGTAGTCAACTAGCGGACAAAGCAAAATTCCTTCACAGACACAAATTGATACAAGTTAAAAATGGTAGTACTTACCATCATGGGATCTGCTTATCTCAGAGATGATTTCATCTTCTATGTATTGCAGAATATCAAAATTTTCAACGTAAAAAACCAGTTCACGCTGCCCACTAATTTCTTCCAGCTGATTTTTATTTGCATTAAATACCCCAACAGAGTAGATAGTAACACCTTGTTCGCGTAGTGCTGTTGCTGGGAGTCTTACTTCATCCTGCGCCTCCCCATCTGTGATCAGGATAAGAAACTTTTTGACACCCTGACGTGCACCCTTGGAAGGCTTGAAATAATTAGACACAAATGTCAGCGCGCCTCCTGTTAGTGTAATTTCCCCTATCAGCGACATTCTTTCAATTGCACTGAAAATGTCGTCTTTGGAAGAGTATTGGTTAAGCTGGAATTCTTCCTTGTTACTGCCGCTGAACTGGATGACCCCAACCTGCACCCGGTCTGGGCCAATGTCAGTTTTGTTCACCAGTTCTTTCATAAAGCTTTTTATTTTCAAAAAGTTGTCTTGTCCTATGCTTCCAGAACTGTCCACTAGAAACATGATGTCAGCTCTCATTCCTTTTAAGGCTACTGAAGAAAGAATGTTTATATTAGTACAGCTCAGTGGGTACATTACAATAAATAAATAGACTTAACTGGGGATAGAATGGGTTGGTAGTGTTGGTAGGGAACCAATTTTTAAATGGAATGCCTGATCAAAAAGGGACCCTGATTAGCTCTGGTTGTTAAACGTCTGGTTGGTGGCATAGTGGGCTTCCTACCTGCCTTCTCTTTGTGCAGCTCCTGGAAGTGGCTGCCACGTCCCTGCAGCCCTTAAGCACATGGGTGGCCAGGGAAGTTTTGAGTGCTATCCCCGCCCAAGTGTTACCTGTGGGGACAGAGGCAGCGTGAAGAGCCTCCCCTGGCCACCCACTATGTGCAAAGGGGCTTCAGGGACTTGGCAGCTGCTTCCTGGGAGCCATGGTAAACATCACTGGGATCAGCTCTTCAGCTCCCATTGGCTGGGAAACAAGACTAATGGGAGCTGCAGGATGGTGCCTGTGGGCACAAGGAAGTGAGAAGAGCATTCCTGGAAACCCATGCACCTAGGGGCCACAGGGACCTAGTGGCTGCTTCCTGGGAGCCATGGTAAACATCACTGGGATCCTGCACTCCAACCCCCTGTCCCAGCCCAGAGTCTTCTCCCACACCCAATCCCCTAATCCCAGAGTCTGCACCCCATCCTCCACCCCCAACCACCTGCTCCAGCTGTAAGTCCCCTCCTGCACCCCAACCCTCATCAAAGTGCAGTGCTTTGATGCTCTGATTGAAACCAAATAAAAATGCCCTTGTTTTTTTAGAGTATATGTTGAACATACACGCAAGAAAGATATAAAAAAGCAAGAAAACAGCTTCATTTATAACTGCCTTGCAGAAAGTCACCTCAGATCAAAATGTGCCCAAAATATAGTGATACATTTCCATTATTCAGACAGGAGAAATAGGCTTATGTTTTGAACAGGAAATTACTAAAGAACAGGAGGCCCTGAGTTCAGTTAGTACTCTGAGGGGGCAAATCAATTTTCCCCTTACCTTTCCCAGGACGGATAAGTTGAACAATTTCATTTTTTATGTTTTTCAAGGCGCTAAACTCTTGAACAAAAAAAGTCCTGCCCTTTGATCCTGCGATCTCATACAACTGTTCTTCATTTGCACCTTTTACACCAACAGCCAAAATATTGACCTCCTCATTCCTCAGCTGCTCAGCAGCCTCCTTTACACTGTCCTGTGACTCCCCATCTGTTAGGACAATGAGGTAACGGGGCACCCTGCCCACTCGCTGCTTCCTTGCCTCTTTAAACAGTGGCTGCATGAAAGTCAGAGCTGCTCCAATAAAGGTATCCCCATATATTTGCCTAATGTTGTCAATGGCCTTCTCTAACTCATATACTGTGTTGTATTCATGAAGTTGAAACTCTGTGTTAATACTATGTGAGTATTGCACGGCTCCAAAATGAACTTTATTCGGTCCTATGTTAAACATCTTAATCAATTCCTTCAAAAAATGCTGGATGTCTCTGAAGGCATTAGGAGAAATGCTTGTTGAGCCATCAATGAGCACATAAATATCAGCTTCTTCTATGTCCATAAACCCTACATGGAAAAAGAAATGGTATACCGAATTAGAATGGGAACAAAATGTAAAGTGAGAAACATGGAGAGAATTGCCAAAGCATGGAGAGAATTGCATTAGGGCCCAGCATCATCCAGTGTTTCCACAGTGACACGTGTTTTGAACACACATACGGTGCAGTCCCACAGTGACAGAAAATAGAGTGGAGGTTCTCACGGTGCAAAGTGGCTGTAACGTCAATGTAAAGTAACAACGATTGAGAAGTTCTGATTGTTTGCCTTATGATAATTGGAATTCCTTGGGACATGTGATCCCTATCTGTATGACACTTGAGGGGTACCTGCACTTCATGTGCCTAAGACAAGAAGATTTTTAAACAGCAGTGTCTCTTGATCTGCACCTATGCCCTATCACCTCACAGCAGGACCAAGCACCATCTAGATCAGGACTACTCAACACCAGCCCATGGGCCGCAGCGGCCTGCAGTGCGGTTTGGGTTTATGCCGGGCTCAACAAGTAGCCCGCGGGTGGGATCCCTTGAACATGGCCTCTACTGGGAACACGCTCCATAACGGTGAGGCATCTCCTAGGTGGGGCAAGCACTGAAAGACGCAAGCAGACAAACTGGCTAGAACAGATGGATACAGGGTGTTGGCATTTCTAGCTCCCAAGTGGGTGGTGTTGGGAACACTGGGGCAGTGTGGGAAGTGTTGGCTGCTTAGTCTTGTGGGCAGAGCCTGAGAGATCCTGATTGGCTCACATTGGCCATGTTTGGTCTGGCACCACAGCCGGACAGCCCTGCCTCTGTCCTGCACAGAGCGACAGACTCCCACATGGGGATATCAGCCTTGCTGGGAAGCCAGGACAGGGGTCCCAGGTACTTATCCTTTTTTTGTCTCTCGTGTCCGGCCTGACTCACCCAGCTCCCCATCCGCCACAGGTTGGAGTGCTCTGGCTTGGGAACTTTTCTTTTTACAGTAAAAACACCCCAAGAAATATACAACCTGAAGCTTCAAGCTAAAGACCCAAAACACTGGCATACAATTTTCTCCTTAATAAGAAGCATTAAAAATGGCAACAAAGAAGAGACACTTGTTGGATGAACACAGAGTTTTCAACCCTGTTTGGGAGATGGAATTCACTTTTGCAGAGATAAATAGAAAACCAATGTGTCTTCTTTGTCAAAAGACTATCGCTGTGTTAAGAAAACCAACCTGCAATGGCACCATCAATCATGTCATCCTGAGTTCTAAGACTTGTATGCACCTGACAGCAATTTAAGAAAAACTAAGATACGTTCCTTACTGGAAGGTTTCTGTACTCAACAAGATATGTTCCGTTCGCAAGTTAAAGACAGCAACGCTGTTACAGAAGCCTCCTTCAAAATGGCGTGGCACAGAGCTAAATCAAAAAGACATTTTACTGAAGGTGAATTGATGAAGCAGTGCTTCTTTTTGCAGAATTTCAAAACAAAGAGGATATAGTTAAACAAATATCAAAACTGCAATTGTCTGAGTCAACTGTAGTAAGATGAATTGAAAGCATTTCAGGCGATCTGTTTTCTAAATTGCTAAAAGACATTGAAAGCACTGAGTATTTCAGTCTGGCAATGGACAAATCTACTGATCATTCAGACATATCTCAGCTCATAATCTGGGAGCGTTTTTTCAATGGCAAAAAGTATGTAGAAGAAATGCTTACTCTGCTTCCTTTGATGGGTCAAACTAGGGGAGAGGATGTTTATTCTGCACTGATGGAATATTTTGAAGGACCAGGAAAATGCATTGATTTGAAGAAGCTTACTTCGATAACAACTGATGGCTCTCCCTCCATGGTTGGAAAAGAGAAGGGGCTAATTTCTTTGCTGAAGAAAAATCCAGTTTCCAGATTTCTTTTTGTACCATTGCAGTCTGCACCAAGAACAGTTATGCAGCAAACTGAAGAGAGGATTTCTCAAGAGCACAATGGACAGTGTTACAAAAATCGTCAACTTCATTCTTGCAAATGCCTTGAAACAGACAATTTTGAGCGTTAGTTGAGGAGTACAAAACACAGTGGGTATGTCAAGACTACATGCCTCTGCCGACAGAGGCATGTAGATTAGGCTACCCAGCACAGGAAAATGAAGTGGCAATTTCAATAATCGCCGCTTCATTTACATTTAAATAGCTGCTGCGCTGAGCCGATCAGCTGTTTGTTGGCTCAGAGCGGTAGTCTGGACGCTCTACGGTTGACATCAAAGGCATTTGTCGACCTCCCTGGTAAATCTTATCCCTCGAGGCATAATTGTACTTATACTCCAATACATTCCAGTACTGTATTGGCAGTTTATTTGATTTGTTAACATTGTGAAGCCAAAACAAAAAAAGTAGTCAATATAGTGGTCTTCTGCTGATATGTGTTTTAGTAGTTAAATTCCTGGACTGTTATTGCTCATTAAGGGTACGTCTAGACTACAGGCTTTTGTCGACAGAAGTTTTGTTGACAGATACTGTCGACAAAGCTTCTGTCGACAAAGAGCGTCTACACTACATTCAGTTCTGTCGACAAAGCAAGCTGCTTTGTCGACATGGTAGTGTAGACGCAAAGGACAGTTTACATGCAATAACACCTTCTGTCGACAGAACTCTGTTGACAGAAGGCATTATGCCTAGTAAAATGAGGTTTACCAGCGACGACAAAACTGTACATAACGTCGACAGAACTCAGCGGTAGTGTAGACGCAGGTATAGTTTTGTCGACAAAAGTAGACTTTTGTCAACAAAACCCTGTAGTCTAGACACACCCTAAAAGTACTGTCATATGGGTGGAAATAGGGTAAATATTTAATTTTATTAATATCAGCAGAACTGACTTAAATGGGGCCTGCATGTTGTGTAGTCTTGCCTTAATCTTTATATTCATGCCCATCAGTGTGAAAGAACCTATTTGCATATATATTTGCATGTAGATGCAACCGCACTTAAGTTGTGGCCCTTGGCAGGTGCTGTATCATTGTGGCCCCCGGGGCTTCCAAAGTTGAGTAGCCCTGCCTTAGAGACTAACAAATATATATAGTCTGATGAGCTTTCATGGACAAAACCTGCTTTTTCAGATGAGACAATTTTGAGCCAGCCTATATTAGCAAGTCTTATCTCCTCATAGAATTTTGTCATCACTCATGTGGTGGAAAAATAGGCTATGTGCCTTCATGAGAGTGAGACATGAGAAGTAACATTTCTGCTCTTCTCTGCGCTGATTTGGCCTCAGTTGGAGTATTGTGTTCAGTTCTGGGCACCACATTTCAAGAAAGATGTGGAGAAACTGGAGAGGGTCCAGAAAAGAGTAACAAAAGTTATTAAAGGTCTAGAAAACATGACCTGTGAGGGAACACTGAAATAATTGGGTTTGTTTAGTTTGGAAAAGAGAAGACTGAGGGGGGACATGATAGCAATTTTAAAGTACCTAAAAGGATGTTACAAGGAGGAGGGAGAAAAATTGTTCTCCTTGACTTCTAATGATAGGACAAGAAGGAATAAGCTTTAATTGCAGCAAGGGAAGTTTAGGGTGAACATTAAGTAAAACTTCCTAACTGTCAGGGTGGTTAAACACTGGAATAAATTGCCTAGGGAGGTTGTGGAATCTCCATCTCTGAAGATACTTAAGAGCAGGTTAGATAGACTTCTATCAGGGATGATCTGGTGCCATGAGACGACGTGTGATTTTTATAGTCTAGGCCGGGTTTGCTTGGAATATAAAAACTGTCCATAACCACACCTACAGGCACCAGAGATACAGCCTTGAAAAAGGTGTCACATAGATGAAGGAATCTACATGACCTAGGAGGACCAAGCAAAATCACACTATTGTCTAAGGGCTCAGTTGAAGATGTGTGATAAGGCCCCTCATAGTTTAGAATATCTCTTGGGAAAGGAATGCATTGGCTGTACAAAAAAAATCCAAAGGCTCCCATAAAAATCTATGGCCTGCCTGGGAACTAAAACAGATTTTTCTACATTCACTTGGAATCCGAGAGACTGCAGGACTTTGAGTAGGGAGATAGTTGCCATCTGTACACAGAAGGCCAGCCCATGGCTTTTTGGTGTCCTTGGTGAACTACGTCTGTGGAGTGCTCCTCCCCGCCCCCGCCACACACAAACATTCATACTAAGCTCCAGATGGTTTCATCTGCAACTTTCAACTAAATTATCAAAGTAGAGGACAATGACGATAACGCAGAATACTATTTATGTTAAACTAAAAGACAAAGTAATCAATATGATTAGTCGGAATGAGTAAATGTGGAGTAAATCATGCATGCCAAGAGAAAAATTATGAGGGTTGGACTCTCCCTAAGGGTCCCCAGTTTGGTTTAACCTCTTTCTCCACACTGTTCAAAGACAGAGCTAAACAGGCTCCATTAGAAGTCTTTTTTATATGAAGTGCTTACTAGAGCTAAAAACACTTGTGGTGGGACAGAATTTCTGCCCAACCTGCTTTGCTAAGAGTTGAAAATCATGGGGGTGGAGTTTCAAGAGACGGCCCAGCAGAGGTCACAGCAGAGAGGTAGGTGGCAGAAGTGACCAGTGAGCAGAATGTAGGCTGTTGAGGCAACCAGGAACAGCAGCTAGTACGACAGCCAGGTGGTGAGGGACAGTGCCTGGGAGGGTAGCCAGCCAGAGCAAGTGCTCAGATGGTGGAACAAGCCAGGTGCCTTCCTCCCCAAGTAGAAAGTGAACTCACATGGATGCACCTCTGAATCTTGGATCCTTACTGACCGAGCACAACCACTGAGAGTAGGTTTGGGAAGAGAGCAGAGAGGGACATAGAAAAGGAACTTTTGCTTGTAGAACTCAAGAACACGTCAAAAAAGACACTTCCCCACTCACTCCGGGGTGGGTTTTACACTTATGAATCCTGCTTGCAGCATTTCCTCTCCTTTGATTACAAGGTTTTTTTTTTACACTCAGGCTCTCTTGCTTGTGAGTGAGGAAGTGTTGCCTCTCAGAGACACCCAGAAGTGGTCTGTAATTTCCCCAGGTTATTGGATTGGGATTCGAGTTGATTCTATATCATAATGTGGAAAAGGAAACCCTAGATATTGAACCTGGACCTGGTTGCTGCCAGTTCCACATGGCAGGTGGATGCAGTGAATACAGTTTAAAAATTAGGGTAGACTATGACTGACATAACATGAAAGAACACACATACTGCATAAGGTGAGTTGTCCTCTCGAGTTCAAAAATACTTTTTGTACTTATGTCACATATAAAAATAACCACTTGCAAAAAATGTAAAAATAGAATTAAAAAACCAAAGGTCATTCTCCAAATAGAGTTTTAGTCTCCAAACTGGCCAAAATATCTAGCATGTTGTTCCACGTCATCCAAGTTCCCAGACTCCCATCTCCACCCAAAAACTCTCTGTACTGTGATCATTCAGGTAGCAAGTGAGAATTTATTCCTGACCTGGAATTAGAAGCTTTTAGATATCAGAGCTTATAAAAAGAGCATGTTAGTAAGTACAATCAATAAGTGCCCATCAAACTTTCAACAGAATTAAGTAATTAACATAATTGCTGAATATTTTATTGCCAGAAATGAAAGTTTGATTTCTGTATTCTGTAAATACCAGTAGATAAATCTTGAACTTTTTTTAGTCAATAAAAGGGTGATTTGGCTTTCAAGTCGTCCAGTTTAAAATGATTCACTGATGCCCACACTGAAGTCAGTAGGAATTGAAAGCCCTCCATTTCAATCAAAAGATCACCCTACAGTGCCCGGCTGTGCTGAGCCACTTTCTTATTTGCAACTTTCCTAAATTGTGCAAGATGCTGACCCTATCAGTCACATTGACCTACCCCTATCCAGGACCAGATTCATCCAGCCCCACCCCCTCTGTTCAGGCCCCACCCTCCATGGGGAGGGGAGGAGGCAGGGCAGCACAATGAGCATGCTCCAGTCTCCCAGAAGCACCGGGAAGATGAGGAGGGAGGGCAGCATGCCAAGCCTGCCCCAGCTTCTCCGGAGCACTGAGGAAGGGAGGGGAGGAGGCAGGGCAGCATGCCAAGTGCACCCCAGCCTCCCCAGAGCACTGGGGAGGGGAAGAGAGGTGAGGCAGCACATGCATGCAGCATGGCCAGGAGTGGCTTGAGGCCGGCTGCAGCGGCTGGCGCCCCAGGCAGAACACGCGATCGGCGCCCCTGCCTGCAGGGCTGTCAATGGACTGACGTCATCATTGGGCGCCCCGTGCTCCCCATGACATCATCATCGGGCGCCACAGGTGGCGGCGCCCTAGGCGGCAGCTGAGTCCGCCTATAGTCACGGGCCGCCCCTAAGCGTGGCTCCCGGAGCACCGGGGGAGAGGAGGCGGTCGTGTCACGTGGTTCCAGTCTCCCCAGCCAGGAGCACAGGGAGGGCTGGTGCTGGGGGCAGCAACACTCTATCCCCAGAATGCCTATAGGAGGTATTCTGGGGGCGGAGTGTGGGTGGAGCCAGGCTGGCGGTTTGGGAAGGCAAAACCTTCCTCCGTCTAACATACATACCGGACTCCAGATTCTACCCTAACTTACACCACATGAAATGCCACAATTTGACTCTTATTGTGTTTGGGATTTATACCAAGGATCATGTTCTGCAGAATTTACATGTAGAATCCCAAGAAGCCCAGCAGAGCTCATGTGAGTAAAGTGCAGGACTGGATTCTCCTTTTGCATATGCTGAATACTTGAATCCTAGTTACCCACTTGAAATAATTTCATTACATGTGTGAGCTTCATTTATACGCTACCTGCATTTTCAACTTCATTTTCATCTGGCTCTAATCTGCACGTCTGTCAAGTTTCTGATAGTACTGATCAACCCTGTATGTGAATCTTATGTACATCTCCATTAGCCAAACACAGTTACACTCTACTATACAAAGTCTCGTGGGGTATAAGGATCCTGACTCAGAGAGTTGACCTCCATTTTTACTTGGAAAATATTGGTTTTTTTTAAATCACACAATACAACACAATACAAAGGATACTGAAATACCAGGTGTTTGAGTTACTGAAGTGTGACTCCCCATAAGGATGAGGAACAAAGTCAGCAGCATCTTCATATTGTGAATTGATGTCCCAAGCTTTAGCTGTGGAGAAATAAAATAAAAATCCTATATATCATTTAGCACAAGGACACTGCAACATGATTGTGTAATTTACTAGTATAAAGAAATGTACAAGGTTGGGAAAGATGTAGCCCAATCCCAATATGATGCTATAAGAAATACAGATAAAGAAATAGGAAAATGGTAAAGGATAAATTGTCAGCAACTTTATCCATGAAATCAGACATTGACTATGGTAATCTTATCTGGGTGGTACTGAGGCCTCCAACCTTTCCCTTTCAGACCTATTTAAAATAATGTTTCCAAGGCAATTCTGATGATATTTCCCCTTTGTAACCTTCTCACTGGCTTTTCCTTCTCGGTTGAATCAGTGACACCTTATCTTTGAAATCTAGGTTCTTAGTATTCACTTCAGCTTCACTCTGCCAGCGACACTCTTGAGCATTCACTTGCCTGCTTGTCACAGAGGCACCTTCCTGCTTTTTCAAAGGCTGCCCCACATGCTGAGGAACCTCCTGACATCTTATTCGAGCTGAGATTCCTCGTTGAAACCTGTCTTTAAAAGATACCAAACTGTTTCTGCCTGGGCCTGGCTCTAGTGTTAACTTTTCCTTCTGTCACTGACCCTCCCATTTGTCTGTCAGTTATTTGCCTTCCAGGTACTTTCTAATGGCTGGATTGCCACCTCTCTGAGGTTGGGACAGTGCCTAGTACAATGGGCCCTAATCCTCGATAAGGATCTATAGGCAATTCTGCAGTGCTCTTCAATTGGTGGCCTGCCTGGGGCCTGGATCTGACCCATGAGGGCCTTTCATTTGGCTCCTGGGCAGCTGTTCCATCCTGCTCTCTGCTGGGAACTGTGCTGTCAGGAAGCCCCCACTACCTGGCTCCAGTTCTGCCCTGAGCTGCAGGCTCCTGGCAGCTCCAGCCAGCGCCCAGTCCCAGCTGCCATATCCCCCTGCCTCTGAGTGCCCTGCCTGGGTGGGAGGAAACGCTGCAGATCAGGAGGGAAAGGGGCTGCCTGGCAGGAGAGTGCAAGGGCCAGAGCTGCTGGGAGAGGAGCCTGGGGTGAGCTTGAGCCAAGTAGCAGAGCTGCCTTTAGAGCAGAGCAACCAGTGGGGAGCAGGAAGGAACAGCTGGTACCTGGCAGGCCAAACAGAAGATCATCTGTGGTTCTGGCCCCTTTCCCTCATTCAGATGCAGAGCATCCCCTGAACCAACAAGTGCCAGGCTTCTTGCAGGAAAGGAAGGGGGTGTGCAGAGATGGGTCAGCACAGGCACTCTACAGCCAGGACTGATCAGGGGAGCACATGGGTCAGAGCAGTCAGGAGCTCTGGGTGGAGCCAGAGATGAGTCACAGAGCCATCCACACAGCTGAGCCCCCAGCTGAGAGCAGAAGCTGAGCACAGGTAGGAGAGGCAGGGACAAGGCAGGCTCCGGGGTCGGGGGGAGGAACATATCATATTTCCTTTGGCCTGTAGTGCCCCCATCTTCCTTCCAGCTCTCCTCACTCAAGGAGTACTCAGGAGGCTCCTGTGTCCTGCAAATACTTCCTCTATTTCCTCTCCCCACCCTCAGGGACTGAAAATCTTAATCACCTGAATGAGCATGGGGGACTCTGCTTATTCGGATCAGCTGGACTTTTGGTATCAAATTTCAGCTATGCACAGAATCCCAACTCCCAACGGGGTCTGTCTGCATGGTCAGCAACTGAATGAAATTTCATTGTGAAACGGCAGCTAAAAATACACCAGGACATTGGGATTGAGGGAAACTGGGAAAAGGTATTGGACATCCCCCATGCCACTTGAACAAATGGACTTCACCTGTATTTAATTTAAAACCCTTTTCATTTAAGCACACTGGAGCTAGGCCGTGGGGATACATTTCAACATACACTGTCTGTCAGGGGGCTTAATCACGTGCCAGAGATGAGTCACAAGGTTGCAGTGTGACCTTGCTGATTAAAGCAGTCAGTAATTGCTGTGCTTTTACTAGAGAACAAAGCCTAAAGAGCCCTAGAGAGAGCCTGTTTGGCTTGCCAACATTTGGATATTGCCTCATTTGGCGTGCCAGAAAAGATAATTGAATACCACTGCCATGCTAAAAGTCACTATAAATAGTAAGACATACCAGGCTCTCTCCAATGATGAAAAGCTGCTTCAGATGCTACCACTTTTCTGCACTGCAGACTGAATATAAAGAAACCACTAAGAGTTCATGGTTTAGGGCTGTTTTATATGCCTCTGGGCTATATCTATTAAAACATAATATTTAAACATAAATAAAACACAGAATGAGAAGAAGCCTTTATCAGGGTACAATGAAACAAATGAAATAAACTTAAAAAACAATAAATAGTCTGGTAGCACTTTATAGACCAACAAAACATGTAGGTGGTATCATGAGCTTTCCTGGGCACAAACCACTTCTTCAGATGACCTGAGTTGCTGAGGCTTTCAGTGCAGCACAGAGCCATCTAGTGGCCAAATAACATACCTTACCAGTAAATACAATATTGCAGCACAGAGGTTGGTACTGCGCTTCATTGTCAAGTAACTCAGCACCCTGTCACTTGGACTTCAGAGAGACATTCATTGTACAGAAGCTTCAGGGGATAGCCGAGTTAGTCTGTATAGGATAAACTTAAAAACTTTGCTCTCTAGTAAAAGCACAGCAATTACTGACTGCTTTAATCAGCAAGGTCACACTGCAATCTTGTGACTCGTCTCTGGCACGTGATTAAGCCCCCTGACGGACAGTGTATATTGAAATGTATCCACACAGCCTAGCTCCAGTATGCTTAAATAGTCTATAAAGTGCTATCAGACTATTTGTTGTTTTTTAAGTTTATCCTGTACAGACTAACTTGGCTCACAGGGAATATTTACCCAGTGAATCTGCTTTGTTTTGAAACCACTATTCCACCTCTCAAAAACCTGCCTGTCTGGTGATGCAGGGAGCTTCTGGGGTACTGGGGACAGGTAGTTGGTGAAGCTTCCTTGCATATGGTTGATCTGTATCCCCCCACTTCCTTTCCGCAAGCACTGGAATCAAACTTCAGTCTGCCCCTTCAAGGTCCTTCACTCCAGTGGAGGGAGTGGGACAAGCCAAATAAGGTCAGCCCTACTTTCAGTGATGTGGGGCCCTGCTTCTTTAGATCCAGAACTGAGTTAACAAAATAAAGGGAAATTGCATGATGGGTGTATGCATACTCAGCCCCTCCCCCCCACCACCACTGTGACCTCTACCTGTGACCGCCACACACTGAACTACCCTAAGGTAAATGTGGCCCTGCTTCTCACTACCTCCTCAACCTTCCTGTTCACTGGAGAATGGGACTCAGCAGGCAGCCTCACAAGATGGGGAGCAGGGCAGAACAAGCAGAAGGAGCCTTGCCAAATAGCCAACAGCCTGAGGCAAAACCAGAATTCACAGTTGCTCCTGTGGCCATGTCTCAATGCAGAATCTGTAAGGACTCTCCAAGCATATCCTCATCCCTGTCACATAAATCTCCTGTGCAGAAAGTGTGCCAGGGAATTCTAGGGGTAGACAGAAGTGTGGCAGGGGCAGACTTTCCCAACTTTTCCCTACGTGAGAAGTCCCATATGGACCATGGCCAGCTGTTAAGCTTCCCTAAACTGTACTAGGGAACTAATCAACTCCTTGAAGCCCCAGGGAAGAGGAATTACATTGCCTCCCCTCTTAGTCCCATTGCAGGGATCTGCATCACTATAGTAGAGATACATTCAGGCATGGAAGTTTTGGATTCTGTGTGACAAAGCCAATTTTTGAAGGCCAATCAAAACTGCACTTTCCAACATAGTTTAGATTCCACACTTTGATTTCTAACTTTATTATCTTTCTTCAAATAATCAGCACAGAGGGAAGTAACAGCTGAAAAAACCATAGTCCAGTTACACACAGTTAGTGGCTTGAAAATTGTGTTTGGCAGTAGAAAAATATAGTGAATGGAAATGTTTTGGAAAGCAGACTGAATCTATTTTTTGACTGATAATATAAATGTTCACAGCACATGCAAGTACTCAGCAGTTACCATTTATAAGAAAAGACTTTGAAAAAGTTATATCTGGCTTGCCTCCCATTTTAATGTCATTGTATTACAAATGCAAATGAAAATGTCATGCAAACAAAATGAGAAAGGAAGCAATTTTTCAGTAATAGAGTATGTCTACACTACAGCGTTATTTCAAAATATCTAATTTCAAAATAGTTATTTCAAAATAGCTTATTTTGAAATAACGCGTCTACACACAAAATACATTTCGCAATAGCTTTTTGCTATTTCGAAATAGCCCGTCCACACTGAGTGGATGCTGAATCGCATGTAAGGCCGGACGGAACCAGGTCCGGCAGGAGTTACTTTGTGTGGCTGCTGCCTGAGGCTATCTGAGACCTGTGCTTAAAGGGACCCCCCGCCCCTGGACAGCCAGTTCTCAGTTTTCCCTGCTTGCTTGCCTGCCTCTATGAGGGACAGCAAAGCATTTTGTCTCTGCGTGCTCCAGTTGCCCTCACTCGGGACACCACAGCACTCTGCAACATGGAGCCAGAGCTGCCCCTGAACACCCTGGTGCTTCGCTTGGACACGTTGCTGCGAGCCTGGCTGCACTTTCTGCAGGCTGCCATCCGGGAGGTCCATTGAGGGGCTGTCAGTATCCAGGAGGCCCTGCGGGAGCTCTTCCACCCTGAGGAGCACTAAGAGCCTCCCTGGTCTGCCCCATTGGGGGCTTGTGCCTCATTCTTCCTTCATGTCCTTCCACTTACCCCTCCCTAACCCCCCTTCCTGATGTAAAATAAAATACACATATTTTCATGAACACAAACTCTCTTTATTTAACAAAATTGGGGGGGGGGGAGGGAATGAAACTCTGGTGAGACTGGGGAAAGGAGGCAGGAGAGGGGAAGAGAGAGGGTGGGAGAGGGGAGGGGGAAACCTGGGAGGAGGGAGCTGGAGGGGGGAATCAAGGGGAGGAAGGGGGAGGGGAAGCTCAGGGCTCAGGGTTGGAGGTCTCGCCGGATCAACTTGATTTTCATGAGAACCTGCTCCTGGGTTCGCATGTGGCCTTTGGTGGCCAGGCTGGCAGCTATCCTGCCAAAGACGGCCACATTCCTCCATCTAGTGTGGAGATTATGGATGTTGGGGGCATCCCCCCCAAACCTGAATAAGGTCCATGATCTCTGCACTGGACCAGGAAGGCGCCCAGCTTCTCCAGGCCCTGGCAGGCTCCTGGGAGCTGGCAGACTGCTCCTGGGGAACGGTGGGGGGCTGGCTGCCAATCGCTTGCTGGCTCATGTTTTGGGGCCATTGGGTCAGAGGCAGTGACTGCTGGCTCTGGGCTGGCGGGCTTGGAGCTGGCACAGGCACTGTGGCCAGAGTCTACCCCTTTAAGGGTTCCTGGGATGGGGGGAGGGAAGGAGTGTTCTTGGTTGAGGCCAGAGTGGCCACCCTTGGAAGGCTGGAGTCCCCCTATTTTGAAATAAGTGTCTACACAGCACTTATTTCGAAGTAGCAATTTCAAAATTTGTGTTATTCCTCGTGGAATGAGGTTTACCAATTTCAAAATAAGCTCTCCGCTATTTCGAATTAATGGCTGTGTAGATGCTAGGTTATTATTTTGAAATAACTTTGCTGTGTAGACATACCCATAGGCTATGTCTACACTGGCATGATCTTGTGCAAGAACTCTTTTGCGGAAGAGTTCTTGTGTAAAAACTCTTCCAGAAGAGCACAGCTACACTGGCATGTGCCTTTGCGCAAGAGATGTGCTTTTGCGCAAGAGCATCCATGCCAGTGTAGACACTCTCTTGCGCAAGAAAGCTCTGATGGCCGTTTTAACCATTGGCTTTCTTGCACAAGAAATTCATGTTGCCTGTCTACACTGGCCTCTTGCGCAAGAACAGTTGCGCAAGAGGGCTTATTCCTGAGCGGGAGCATCATAGTTCTTGAGCAAGAAACACTGATTTCACACAGTAGAATGTCAGTGTTCTTGCGCAAGAACTCGTGGCCAATGTAGACAGGCAGCAAGTTTTTGCGCAAAAGCAGTTGCTTTTGCACACGATCGCACCAATGTAGACACAGCCATAGTGTGTTGTGACACTGGTATTTTTATGCCTGATTTCATAAGCAAGAAGTTTTAAGTGAGAATAAACTTGGGGGCTGTCAAGTATGGGTTCTCTTGGCCAGGCCTCGCACCTATAGCCGAGGTCTACCTCAGCAACCTCACCACATCACATGGATAGCAACAAGGCTTATCTACCAATAAAATGGAGCTTGTCAGAGTCCAGCACTCAACACCATATATGGGCATCTCACCATACCCAGACCACACCCATGCCACTCCCAGAGCACAAACACCACCAAATATGGTAATAGGAAAGAACATAAAAACCTCTCAGCCCTTAGCTCGGAGTGGACTACCGAATATTGGAAAACAGAATCTGAGTCTGCCTTAGGACTGATCACCCAAAGGCTGCCTCCCACCCACCGAATCTAAAAAGGGGTGTAGGAATCTCGAGCATGCTCTGATTCCTTGTGTGTCTTTGTGTTGTTGTTGCTGAGTTTGTGAGTATTTAATCTACCCTCACTGTTGTTAAGTCGTTTAAAAGAGACAGGTTAGAAAATATATTGCTCTGTGGTAACTTTTACCCTTGTTATTGTCAGTGTTAAAGAAACAGGTTTTTTTTAATGTGTATATATTTGACTTAGCTGTAACTTAGGTAGGGTTTAAAAATTGTTGTGTGGCAAATATTAGGTAGTTGCTCATTTAAGTAGTTCAGTTTAATAAATCATTCCTTCTTTGATAAAACTTGTTGTCTTGCCATCATTCAGTATTTTCACTGGGTATTTGGCCTTAAGCCTCTGGGACTCCTGCCATTTTACCGAACCAAGCACCAACAGCACAAGACAAATCAGACTCCAAAAAGGGGTAGAAGTAGTCCAGAAAGGTTAAGAACCACTGACCTAATGAGACCCAAAATGTGAAATACATTTGTCACTTCTTAATATCAAGTCTTCTTGCAGTTTTGAGGAATTTAGTAATCTCTGCCTTTAGTCATCAGACTAAAATATCTATTTATGAGATGAGGTTAAACATCCCTCATTTAAATACATATATTTCTAGTGGAATAATTTCTTGATTAGACATTAGTACCATCTCTCAATATCTTCAAGTGAGAGCATAAATACATATGTGAAGATTATAAATAAGATAAACCTAGGGAATTCTTCATAACTTGTACATTAAATTGTATTATTAAATTGAAATATTTAAAAAAAACTAAATGCTGGAGTTTTGTGAAACATCCAGATCTGAATAAGAAGGAAATTGTCTTGGGCATATTAGATTTTAAAAGGATGAAACACCTTCATTTACAAACCATTACCTTTTAATATACAAAATGTACAGTGTGTATAAATATTACATTATATTAACACATGCAGAAATTTTCATCACAGTTAAGGCTGCAGCAGGACACTTACACTCATCTAAAACCTTAAAAACCCGGAAATAAGATATGAAGGGAAAAGCCTCCAGCATTCATTTCTACTTTATCACACCTTTCAATTCATCAATGACTTTTTACTTCCATCTCCAGCAGATACTGAAAAGCCGTATGTACCTCAATTTCAGCAAACTTGTGCTCTGCCACAAAATTTTAATTTCAACCTCATGCACTTTTGTATCAAGAAACTGGCCCATCTGACTTTCATACAGTCCGTATCTATGTAACATCATTCCACCTTGGTATCACAGCGGTTGAATTTTGTGTTAGAGTACAGCTATGACTAGGGGTACATGTGACTTATCGGTATCTGATGGAGAAAAAAAGTACCATATGGAGTGTTAATAATACAGCCTCTTTCCTATATAACACTTCTTATCCTGTAAAGCTCAATGCATATCACCATCTTGAATGCACATATACCCACAACACCCATGTGAGGAAATGTCATGCCAGTTTTACAGACAGGGAATCAAAGATACAGAGGGACTAAGTGATTTGCCCAAGATTACACAGGAAGTCCATGGCAGAGAAGGGAATTGAAGCAGGGTTTCCCACAGCCTGAGCCAGTGCCCTAGCCACTGGACCTACCCTTCCCCTTTACGATAGTGGGGGACAAAAATAAAAAGTAAAACATTAATCTGGCATTAGGGTTGTGCATATATACAGCAAAGTAAGAGTCTAAATCATCACAATAATTTTGTAATTATCTTAAAAACAAGGAAATGCAGAGTTCAAAATTAAATTTAAATATGTAGACATGCATTGCCTATCTTTAACATTATAAATAAGGCAAGAAAGAGAAAAATATACCAATATATCTATAAAGGTGAATACAAAAATAAAACAAGTTCAAGAGCTCATAGAAAAAAAATCTGCCTGTTACCAAAACTTCAGAGTGAATGTTTCAGATGAACAGAAAATTTAAATGCAAAATGTGCCACAGAATGAAATGTATTTAGTAGTTTTCCTTGGTAACTACAGAAGACAGTATGTGCTACTTACCATATAAAAGGAAGAGGTTTATCAGTTCAAAACTTTAGACCCTCCAAAGTGGCTCAGAAGAGACTGAAGCCCTTTTAAAAGAAAATCTATCAGTAGTTTGCCATAAAAGCCCTCCCATGTGGACAATTAACATATTTAGCTTCCAAAGGCTTCCAAGCCACCAGAAATGATCTCTCTCCCTCTCCTCACTGGTTGCTCTTAGTGCTGAGCTAGCTGCCAGCAACAGCAGCCATGAGGGTGAAGCTCTCTCCTGGGTTTCTAACTAACCTAATTTTCACATTCCTGTAAGTTCTGCAGCCTCCAGCAAGGTCTCTCCCACATACCCCCAGCAGCTTTTAGAAAGGGTACTGATGTTTTTTTTACTTTATCTATATGTATTCCTTACCATGGTGGTTCTCACAAGTTCTTTTGACTGTAAGAATAATGAGGTAAGGTAACCCTTGTCCCTCTTTAGGGAGTGATGCTGCAAAGATGCAGAAACAACAATCTTGAAGATGTACCAAGTGAATTTTCTGCCTCCACTGACTCACTCATTTTTTGGATTGTTCACATGAGGCTACTTAGCTCGAAAACACCATCCTGTGTTCTTCCAATTTTTATTTTTTACTTGCATAAATACAGTACATCCTGTAGGAGCACAGAAGTTCCTCGGATATGGATAGATACGATCTATTGTATATTCTAGTCATAATAAATCTAAAGAGAACATTTTCCATGTATAAAGTGAGGAAATGGCCATTTAAAAAGTTGGTACATAGATAATGCCATATATTTTACAGCTGCATGCCATAAATGGGAGATTTTTTAAAAACTGGGTGCTATTGAAAAAAGCTATTAGACTGGCAGCCCTGGCAGATTGAAGTAATTTATTCACAAAAATTCAACTTAAGCTGGAATTTAGGAGGAGGAGGAGATATATGATGAAGAGCATAATACACGAGTTGATGACAGTGAATACACTTAACAAAAGTCAAAACTAGACATTTATTTGAAAGTGAATAAGTCCTAAGCTGATAAGTAGGCTTGGAAAGATAAGATTTTTAAATCAGCAACTATTGTTCAACTTTGATTTTAATCAGTTACATGCACACGCATGCACACACATGTACTTTCACTGATAATAATTAAAATGTACAGCTAAGCAAATACGGAAATGCTTCTAGAGAACTCAGAGTTTGATTTAAGGTAATTTAATTTGTATATTTTGACATATGGTAATAAAAAATGTGTTTTAATGGCTATTAAACTTGAAGTTTTTTTATTTTAACATATGCTGTCATTCAATAATTGTCTGACCTCGTCTGTTGTCTGACCCTCCCCAATAATTTTCTGTAACTCTGAAAATTGAAATCAATATTGATGGGAAAAGAAAGCTCTTAAAAGTTATATTTGTGTACTTGTAAACATTTAAATAGATAAACATCAATATTTTTAAAAATAAACACTGATATCAGTCAGCATTATTAAAAATGAAAATCACACTCTGCCCCATCTACTCTTAAGGCAGGCTGTCCTGGATTCTAGAACTTTCTGGATGTTTTTCCTTTGATTATATTTTGTTACATAACAAATCATTTTGCCATAACTTGAAAGTGTAACTTTGAAGACAGGATGCTGCTGAAGAGGTAACCAGACAGGAACCCCTTTTCTTCCTGTGAAAAATAAATTCAAACATTTTATTTCAAATCTTTTGAGAGACATTTTCAAAATGGCTGAGATACAAATTTTAGTTTTATTTAGCTTCAAATTGATGTTTTTGTTTTGATTAACTTCAGAAATTTTGTTTTGAGAACATTGTAAAAGTTTCCCCTCCTCCTTTCTCCTCCCTCCACACTTTTCTAGCCCTTTTTCTTTTTTGAATTCAATAAAATGAATGAATGCTATCTACAGATTTATTTTGCTTTGTTAATTTTTCCTCTCTCTTTTCCCCCCTTTTCCATTAAAACTTAAAGACATTTTAAGATGTTTCAGAGGGGCTGACTTACATTTTTTTATTTTTATTTTTGCAACTCTCAACTTTTCCAAAGTTGGAGAAAATTTGGAAAAATGACAGGGTGGAGGAAAAAAGCAAAAAAGCAGAGAATACACACTGCATTCAGTAGCAAAAAAATAAAAAAGGGGAAAACACAAATAATGGCCAACACATATTTAAATACATCAAGCATTTCAATTCAAAATTACGTGAAAAGTGTCCTTTTGTTTATCTATTTCCCCTACAGTCCTTTAAATCACATTTTCTTCTCAACATTTTTTTAAGTAAACTTTATCAGGGTTTTTTTTGGACCTTAGTGCATTCTGCTCCCTCAAGGTACATCTACACAGCAGGGCTAAAGTCCAATTAAGCTCTGCAACTTTAGCAATGTCAATTGGATAGCTGAAGTTGAAATAGCTTAACTTGGCTTTAGGTGCTGTCTACGCAGCAGGAAGTCAAAGGAGGAACACTCTTCCTTCGACCTCCCTTTCTCCTTGTGAAATGAGGGTTACCATGAGTCAGGGTAAGAAGTCCTCCAGCTCGACGTTATTTCAAAATAAAGGCTTGTAGTGTAGACACACTCTTTGTTATTCCGAAATAACTCTGCTCTGTAAATGTACCCACGTTGTCCATTGAGGTTGGTGGAGAAGGATTCTCACAGTTAATCGCCAAACAGCATTGTTTGCTGCTTTGAGGTCAATCCAGTGCATCTCTCTCAAGGGCTGCTTGGTGGCATCAGGGAGCAGGGCTGCCTGTAATAACCAGTCTTGGGAGCTACATCAAAGAGCAGATTGTTCCCTGCTATCATCTCTGAGCACCTCCTAGAGCTTTTTCCTGCCAGGCCAGACGGGAGAGCCAGGGCTAAAAGCAAACCTCACACTACCAATATGTGGCACAAGTCACCAAAGTACATGACAAATAAGCGAAGTGTGGAACACCTGGGCTCTTTTGCCCACTGTGCCGCAAATGAGAGATTATAATGGCTTTTGCCATAAAACCTGAAGGGATCTTATCTCATTAGCTGAATTAACTGCAAAACTGACTTATTTGACTCAGTTGAAAAACATCCCCCAGATAGGTTTTATTCTTAAGAAGCATGGTAATCCATCAGTTATGGCACAATTTGCATAACTTTCCTCTATGTCCTTCTCACAAACAGGATAACTTTTGCCTCCTGCCTTCCTCTCCTCAGTCTTCTTTAGCTGCTCCCTATTTTCCCCTTTTTGTTCCCCTTGTCCCTTATTGTTGCCTCCTGTCCCCCTCTCCCTCCAAAAAACCCCTCCTTTACTTTTCCTCTCCAACGCCCATCCTGAAAAGAGTCAGGAAACTACCTGCAAAGCTTTCAGGGTATGTCTACACTACCCCCCTAGTTCGAACTAGGGGGGGTAATGTAGTCATACGGAGTTGCAAATGCCGTCTGACGACACAGGCACGCAGCGTGCGCACACCTATGGAATAGACCCGAGCAATCACTCCACGAAGAAGAATTGGCTTTATGCTTCATTTATTAGAGAGAAATGCTTAATTTAGTAGTTAGGGAAAGCTATGGCAAAGTGAGACAAAGGGGCAAAAACCTTGAAGAGAGCAGAGTGCAGCCCTAAACTGATTCAGCTGGCTTTACATAAGGCCCAATAACCAGCAGTGGCATCACTTGTTCACTGTACTATGTAAAAAGCAAGGTATCCTAGTGATTCTTTGCCAGGTCTTTTCTTACCTGCTCTAGAGTCATGCAGTAATGGGAAGGTATCTTCTAACCCTGTTGTAAGTATATTGGCTAATTCTTATAACTATATTGTCACTAGGGATCTATTATATAAGGGTGTAAATCCTTAGGCTTGTATTTTGGATATAACCAATGCTACATGGCATTTGACTAACAAAGGAATGTTTATGTGGAATCTGAATCATGGTAACATAATAAAATTATTGGGAAAATTAGGAAAGGTTATGGCTGCCAATTTTGGTTGGATGTTTTCCTGGAAGTTTCATCAAATGATTAATCTTTATTTGTTGGAGACTCTAGGACAATCCTGGAGGCTGGCAACCATTAAAAGGCCAAAAATCATGACTCTTTTTCAAGATTAGGTTGTGTTGTTTGGTGAGTCTTTTGACTTACAAATCACTATGGGTACGTTTACACAGCAGGGCTAAAGTTGATTTAAGCTACACAACTTGAGCTACGTCAATTGCGTAGTGAAGTCGAAATAGCATAATTCAGCTTTTGATGCTGTCTACACAGCAGGAAGTCAAAGGAAGAACACTCTTCCTTTGACTTGCTTTACTCCTCGTAAAATGAGGGTTACAAGAGTCGGAGTCCTCCAGCACAACATTATAATAATAAAATAATGCTGCTGTGTAGACACAGTCTATGTGAAGCAGTTAGTGCTCCCCACTCTCCCAAACATAGTTCATAAGGGCTGTGTCTACGCTGAGCCACTTATTCCGGAAAATCAGCCGCTTTTCTGGAATAAGCTGCGAGCTGTCTACACTGGCCCTTGAATTTCCGGAAAAGAAACAACGCTCTACAGTACAAAATCAGCCGCTATTCTGGAAAAACTATTCTGCTCCCGCTTGGGCATAAGTCCTTATTCCGGAACACTGTTCCGGAAAAGGGCCAGTGTAGACAGCCCAGTAGTCTTTTCCGGAAAAAAGCCCCGATCGCGAAAATGACAATCGGGTCTCTTTTCCGGAAAAGCGCGTCTACATCGGCCACAGATGCTTTTCCGGAAAAAGGGCTTTTCCGGAAAAGCAGCCTGCCAATGTAGATGCTCCTTTTTCGGAAAAACTGAAAACGGAATAGTATTCCGTTTTAAGCAGTTCGGGAAATTCATGCCAGTGTAGACACAGCCAAGGTGATTTGGGGGTTCTGCTGCAAAGATTTTCTGCTGCCCAATGGTGTGAAGCTTTTAGTTTCTTCCCCCAAAACCAATGCCCCACATCTGTCCATCCCATAATTACCTATGCTCTCCAGAACCCCAACATCAACTTTAGGTCCCCCACTCCACATCTGCCCCTTGTTCCTCCTACTGTAACTCGGATGGTTCACTGTGCTCCTCTCCACCTCCAGCAGTTCCCCCTTGTTCCCAGGCAACTCCAATGAGACTGTCGGCAGCTGTTCCCTCTTCTACTTCCCTCCTCCACAATCTCCTATTTCCTATCCAGGGTAGGGAAGAAACTTCTGCCAGCTTCATGTGCTATCCCTGACTGGGGGAGAGAAGCCAGAAAAGATTTTGCCCCTGGCACAGCTG